TTACATGTTAAAAACATCTTAATATCCCCTTATTTGTTATTTATGACTGGAACTGATGGGTTTATTTCAACCCTTCCAGTTTCGATTCTGGCAGGTATCCTCATAATTGAAGTCAAAGTTTCTCTTAACTTTCCCATCTCTTCTGCCAACATATCTCTGGTCATATATTCAGGCTGAGACATTTGTTCTTGATTCACATTTTCAGAATTAAACTCTCCATGCTTTGCATGAGTTTCTGTTTGGCTATTTTTGCCTCTGTTTTGCCCTCTGCCTCTTCCTCTGCTTCTACCTATGCTTCTGCCCCTGCCCTCTGACGTACCAATGGGAGCAAGAACAGGGGAATCCTCTTCATCATTAGGATTGGGGCGGGTGATCCTTCGGGATCTACTAGTCATCTGCAAAGTTCAAGGTTTAATAAACATATTTTCACATTCCCATATATAATAAAGTGTCCAAGTTCAGTTATGTACCAGTAGATTCAAAATTACATTGACCAGATGTAATCCGAATATACCTTACACACTGATCCCTTAACTTATTATATTTATTTCCAAATGTGCTAACTATGTCTAGGACCCCTAATATGCAATGAAACAGTTTAAGTCTAGGCATCATGCTGTGAATACCTAAATCCCTTAAACTCAGGCTCTGATACCACTTCTGTACCACCCCAAAACTTACATTGCATATAACATATAATTCATTCAAAGAAAGACATGTTTAATCCCACAAAGGTCCAAAATACAAGAAACTATATTACANCAAAACTTACATTGCATATAACATATAATTCATTCAAAGAAAGACATGTTTAATCCCACAAAGGTCCAAAATACAAGAAACTATATTACAAAATACACAACCCAAAAATTCCAAAATAAATGTTCTTGTACTACATAACATTTAACTTCAAAACACATCCACAGATTGATCTTCACATAGCTATGCACATAGGGAAACAAATCAAAATTTCCCTTTTCCTTTACTATCATTATACTCTGCAGTTCCTGCAATACATATTTGAAACACAAAATGAGGGTTAGACCTGAAGGTATAGTGAGATCCCTTTTTCCATGTAATTGAGGGTGAAAATCACCAAAACATTATTTAAATCAATCATTTCACATAATGAAACATAAATCCATAACATAATTCATTTAGTCCATCGATCCTCTGGTTCCAATGTCCAGACTTAGAAAACATTTTCATCGGATAGCATGACCAAAGCCCCTCTGGTTCCTCTACCAAAGCTTTCTGGCTATACCAACAGTTCTTCTCAAGTTAATCTTCATAAATGTACGTAGTCAAATATCAATTGATGGATAAAATAGTTTTTCCCAAGTATGAAAGTATACAATAAAAGGCTTAAATATGACCAGAGCCTCTGGTTCTACTAACCAGAGCTTCTGGCTCAAAACTCATGACCAACCAGAGGCCTTCTGGTTCAACGCGAAGACCAACCAGAGCCCCTCTGGTTTGTCCTTCTTTGTATGAAAAGTTTTCTAAGTTAAAATAAAAGTATAAAATCTTACGCACTTCTTTTAAAACATAACTTTGACACAGAGCTTCTATCTAATAGATACAGAGCCTCTGATTTAAATAAAAGCTTTGTAAAAAGACTTGTATCAATATCAAACCATCATCCAGAACCCTCTGGTTCTATTGAGAGGGCCAACCAGAGCCCCTCTGGTTTCTTTCAAGGAACAACCAGAGCCTCTCTGGTTCCTTATAAAACAAACACTTTATCAAAAGCATAGTTTATCCAAAACCATTGGCCGTAAGGCAAGTTTTCTCCTTCTCAATAACATCATTACTATCATTTCTAATAAGAGCAACATC